ACACACACACACACAAACCAACACTCAATGGCACGCCGGTGAAAACATAACCTCCGCCACGCCCCTGGCGGAGGTAATTACGTATTACGAACTCAACTTCATGTTGTGAATGAAACGAACCTTGTTGTATACGACCTTTGCCATTACACTTGTTTTTGTTGTTGTCGCAGGTAACCTCCAGGTGACGCAGCTGATGCTGTCGCACGAGGCTGACCCTGAGGTCGCCGACAAGAACGGTCAGACTGCCCTGAATCTGTCCGCCCGCCAAGGTCACACAGAGGTCGTGTGCGCTCTCATAGGTAGGCATTGTAGAGGTCATTAGAATGTATACATTATGACGCGGCCATAATCACAGCCCATACACGGGCACACGCACTTTCACAGGGCCATCGCCTAAACAAATACTTTTGGGGGTGGAGGAAGATGATCAGATCACAGGTGTCCTATAATGTATAGGTATCTATGGGTGAAATTGCGTCACAACAGAGTGATGACGGGGGAACGTTGACGCACGGGCAAAATGTGTTTTTGCGGTTTCGGCAAATTTGCCCAGCACCTGTCCGTCTACCTTTACGTTGTTCTGTGATCGATGTCTTCTTTGTTTCTGACGTTATTGTTTGCCATGTTAGCCTGACGTTCTCACATCATGCGCTCCTGTATTTACTCGTTCTAGACACGTAAGTGACAGTTAATCGAAACCTGCGCGGTCTTTGCTTCGTATCGTTACAAAGTTTTAATAGACAGCCGATCGAAATTTGCACGTTCTCATTTTCAATCGCTTTAACAGTTGTAACAGACTGCGAAGTCCAAATTTCTATCGCGCAGTCCTACGTTTCGTAATTTTTGCGAAAGTTACGAGAGACAAAGCTAACCGAAGCTAGATAGCGATGTCTGTGTGAGAGCTGCAGGCGAAAGCTGAAGCTGATGTTTCTAAAAGATGGCGGCCGGCTGTCAGCGATATAACATCTAATAAGTCGTAACTGTCACTCCGCGTGGCGTCTGCAACGGTACGGCGATGAAGCGAACGGAATCGCTAATGAGCAACGTGTAACGAGCAAAGGGTTAACGAGCTTTGAATTGAGCAACAGCAGCGGCGGCAGCAGCAACAGCAGCAGCAGCAGCAGCAGCACCATCATCATCATCATCATCATCATCATCATCAGCAGCAGCAGCAGCAGCAGTGGCAGCAGCAACGACAGTAGTAGTAGTAGTAGTAATAGTAATAGTAGTAGTAGTAGTAGTAGTAGTAGCAGCGGCAGCAGCAGCAGCAGCAGCAGCAGCATCATCATCATCAGCAGCAGCAGCAGTATCATCATCATCATCATCAGCAGCAGCAGCAACAGCAGCACCATCATCATCAGCACCATCAACAGCAGCAGCAACAGCAGCAACAGCAGCGGAGATGAGCGTACATGATATAAGTGCAGGTAGCCGTAGCTATGTACATAGCCCGCAGGCATGAGTCGTTCCAATACTAAAATAAGGAGTGCGTGAATTATAAAGGTGGAGGGAGGAGGACGCGGAGGGAGGGAGCTGACGGAGGAGGCGCGCAGAAGGGAGGGACCGAGCGAGAGAGCGAGCCAGAGGCGAGAGAGAGAGAAGAGACGGTATCGAAAGAGAGAGACGAGAGATCGAGAGACGAGAGACGAGAAAGACTTAGACTGAGACGGAGGAGCAGAGAGGAGAGGAGAGAGAGAGATGACGCAGGAGAGAGATCCGAGAGATGAGACGACCGACGGACGAGACGAGACCGAGAAGATCAGAGACGATGAGAGAGCAGAATACCAATTACAGTAAGCCACCCAGTGGAAACCTCAGCACAAACTACAGGAATAAAGATCGCCGTGACCTTCATAGTAACACATTTCGATCGTATTTTTGCTATCCGAATTACAATTGCAAACTACCTATAGAGCTTAGAAATCAAAGGCCGCCGCCACAGCGGATGCACGTGAGCGCGTAAGAAAGCTGCATCTCTGCACACACTGTTAGGCCTTCGCCTAAAAGCCATAAATATGCATAGATGCCACCACGCGCGCACGCCACGCCCCCCCCCCCCACAGCACACCACGCACATACGCGCACACACGCACATCACACACATCACACACACCACACACACACACACCACCAGCACACACACAACACACACCACACCACACGCACACACAACACACACATACACTTGCAAACATTTACAGATATAAGCGTACCCATAAATAAGTAGCATGAGTATCAGATAATATAGATACATTTATATATATATTGTGTATTCTGTGTATATTATGCCTTGATATAATACATTTTATGAATTGTAGGCAGAACTACAAGCTGTGAGTGTACAATGAACAGCCTATTTAGCTTACTGGGTTAGTTACCTGAAGCCTTCCAGCTTGGAGCAAAGCTGCGACGACACTCCTGTGCTGACCTCCCCAATGCTCCTTGACCGCCAAGCGGGTGTCCAGCCCTTCCTGTCGCCAGGTCGCGCGCCGTCAATCGTTTACACTGGGCCTCTGAAAACAGACGAAACTCTATATATATATATATATATATATATACTATATATATAATAAGAGCGAGGCGGAGCAGCGAGAGCGACGCAGAGAGCGCGGAGCTAGCCGAGATCCAGAGAGGCGGAAGAGAGGAGGAAGAAGAGGGGAAAAGAAGTAAGAGAGACGAGACAGAGCTGCGAAAGACGAGCAAGAGGCCCGCGGCCCAAAGGGGGGGGAGGCAAAACGCGGTTGAAAACCAGGCCATCGGAGCGTGAGAAAACGTCCTATTTATCAGAGCCCGTAACCATCATTTATTTACGGCCCATTAATTTAGTCAGGAGTGAATAAAACAAATAATAAAATAATAATAATAATAACCCGCCGTTGACGTATATGAGCTGATTTCTCACGATACATGCGACATACGATACACAACGGATCAATGCCGATACAATTGCGCGACTACGCTTCATAGAACATTACACGCTGGTGTTTTAATACGTTTTTTGCTGATCATTGTCTCTTTAAAATTGCCCCCTGAAAATATGTTTGACATATGCACAAAGTTATACATCGCGATATAGCCTTATCTTTGCCGCTGCGGCGGAAACTCGAGTATTATACACTAGAGTGTATTATGCCTGAAAGACATGCAAGCAGAACGAGTTGCTTACATGCGGCCGCTATACCGGTGCGTGTTAATGTGACCTTGCACGCGTCCGTCGACAATGATA